GTGTGTTCATGCCACAGCATGTATGTGGAGTTCAGATGACAGCTTGTCAAGTGAATTCTCTCCTTCCACCTTTGTGGGTTCTGGGGATCAAACTCGGCTATCAGGCTTGCACAGTAAGCAGCTTTACCCACAGTGTTGTCGCTCAGACCCAAGCTGTATATCTTAGAAAACAACTAAGTCAAAATGGATCATAGGCATGAATGTGAACGGTAAAACTATAAAATGCTGAGAAAGAAAATGTAAGAGGTCACTAGGGAGATAGCTTAATTAACAATATGCTTGCCCTGAAGCATAATCCTCAGAACCCACATTCTAAAAATCTGGGTATGGGGTGCATGCTTATAATCCCCGTGTGCTAGGGAGATGGAGATAGACAGATCCCTGGAACTCAGTGGCTAGCCTGGCTTACTTGGTGAGCTCTAAGCCAATGGGAGCCTTGTCTCAAAGGAAGTGGATAGTGATGTTCCTGGGGTTGTCCTCTGGCTTCTACATGTGCACCATATATGCACACAATCCAGACACATACACACAAAGAAACGGGAGGAAAATGTTTGCATCTTGGGTTGGGAGGGAGCTTAGATTTGACAAAAGTATAGTCCATAAAATTAAACATTGTTAAGTTAGGCTTGCAAAATTTTAATTTGTTCTAAAAGGTTCTTGTAAGATGAAGAAAAGACAGATTATGAAATGGGAGAAAATATTTATAGGCTCATATCTGACAAAGAACTAGGAGAGTATCGATGCTATCATTGTTCCTGCTTGAATATAGAATTATCAAACTCCAGTTATAAAGCTGGTAAAATACATAAAAGCACATTTTACCAAAATGATTCCCAAATTGCAAACAAGGACCTGCGAGGATGTTCTCCATCATTAGTCGTTAGGGAAATGCAATTGAAAACTACAATATAACACAATGCATTAGTGCTCATTTACCAGAATACAGCTGGCAGGAATGTGGGTAATGTATCCCTTACACGTTGCTGGTGGGAATATCAAATGGTGCAGTCCCTCTGGAAAGCAATTTGGCAATTTCTTAAACTGCTAAATGCAGCTATCATATAACCTGGACATTTTGCCCGGTGAAATTGATTTACATTTACACTAAAATCCTCATATAAGTTTTTATAGTAGGTATATTTTATTTATATTCAAGGTTCTGGGCCTTACCCTTGTTGAAATTCAGTGACACCTCCCCTAGAGAAATTCTGCAGTCACTGTCTGATTCTGCTTTTGTAAGTATGGAAAGGGAAAAGGTGGAGAAAATGAATGATTTGATTTAGGGATTACTCAGTCCACGAGAGAAGAAACTTAGAGGCATTGCAGCACTGTTCTTGTGGTAATTCACACGGCCTGAATAGTCCTGGAAGGGGTTTGGATTCCTGCAAAAAACATAGTTTTATGTTTCATGAGTGCTAACTGAACATCTATTATGTGGAAGGCATAAAATTCTCCATGAAATCAACATGCACAACTAACTGTTATGTGCATTTCTCAGATAAGCTGGGAGCGGAGAGTTCTAGAATCTTTTATGTTCTGTGACAGCTCCATGATCATTTAATTTCAAGTTCACAGTTGGCTATATTTAGGTTCCATACGTTTTTGTTCCTCAAGTCTTTGGCCATCATTATGAGGAATGTACTACATTGCTGTATATTAGACCCTAAAATTGGGCAATGATGTCTAAAGAGCTGATTAACATGCGAAAGGAAGGGGGGTCTTGAAATGGGAACCTTTGTGCAGTTTCTTTCTTCTGCCATCCGGGTCGTTTGTTGGATACCAAGGGCGTGGGGAATAGAATGTAGAGACGGGAAGATGCAACTGTTGGTGTGACTCAGTGGATAAAGTGCTTGCTGCATGAGCCTGAGGACCTGAGTTCGGATCCCAACACTCACACAAAAAGCCGGATGAGGTGGCAGTGGCTATAACCCTATGGTCGAGATGTGTAGACAGGTGGATCTCCGAGATCCACTGGCCAGTTGGTCTAGCTGGAAGGGCCAGCTCCAGGTTCAGTCCTTCAGTGTGTTTTCCCTTCCCAGAATTCCCACTCCCACGGAGCTCCGTTGGGTCTCCCTGCCTTCCTAAGGGAGGACTTCCCTTTTCCTCCTCTGTCTCTCTCTCTGTACTGCGGCCAGAGCCTAAGTGTGCTTTCCCTGTACTCTGTCTGGGCTTCCTCTTTCTTGGCAGGTCCTTTTGCCACTGTGTGGCTGCTTGTCTGCCATGTGACCAACCACCATGCCTAGCTCAAATGCCGTGGCTCTTTCTTCCTCCCCAAACTCAGAATATAATAAATAAAAAATTATGAGGAGAAGCAATTGAGGAAGACATCTTGAAGTCATCCTCTGGTCCCCACATGCACCCTCATGGGTGAGCATGCCTGCAGATATGCACGGACTCCCCCCTCCACACACACACACACACACACACACACACACACACACACACACACACTCACATGCACATGTACAGACACATACCAAGCAACAAATTTTATGCTATACCAAAGGCAGGAAAATGATGACAGAGGCAATCCACCTTTCATGTTTCCTACACTCTTCGGAGGTGACTCAGGGCTCTCCCAGGGGAGAGGACAGAGCTGAGGGACCTGGCTAATGTGGCCCCAGCTGACCCCAGGACCAGTCTTTCTCAACTGAGTGGGAACACTAGTGAGTGCAGGCAGAGGAGCTGCATTGCAGAGCTCCCTCCATTCCCCTGAAGACCCCTCCTCCTACCCTGTAGCTTTGAGGAGCCCCATCGGTGCCAATGGCTCGGCAGCCTCTCAAGCCTCTGTTGTGGAGTGCCCTACAATAGAGGGTCCTGGTCCCCAAGAGGGACGGGGAGGGTGGTGTGGAAGGGAGAAGCATAGATGCACTTTTTGGGGTGTGTGGGGTGGGGTGGACCATGGGGAGCCTCCCTTGCTATGATGCAGAAAGCTCCCGGCAAAAGTCAGAGTCATCTCTGCAGGGATGATTAATCTGACTCTCAAAGCTGTCTGCGTCCCCAGGAAACGAGGGCAAGGCAAAGTTGGGGTCCTTTTTCTCACTGGGTCCTGAATTCAAAAGCTGTCTTGGTCCGTGGGCAGGATCATGTCTAACTGTGCACAGGGATGGCTGGGCTGCCCAGAAGGTGTCTGTGGCCTGGACGGGCTGGTTAAGAAATGGCCAGTGACCAGTCGAGCTCCTGGAACCAGCCATCTCTAGTGACACTCATGGGTTAGCATTCCCAACAAATTCCCAGCCTGTGGGAGACAAGCCAGGCCACGGCTTGGTTCTGGACAGCAAGTCAGGGGCTCCTGTTGTGTCTGGACTTGGCGTCCTGATCACAACGTAACCCATGAGCATGGAGCAAAAGGGGACCCATTGCTTTGTGCAGGAGTAATGAGAACAAGCAACAAAGCCTCCCCGCCCCAGGCCGCCCACCTCCTTCCCTCTCACTTCAGCCCTCCCCCTCCAGCAATGAGAACACAGGCTCCTACCAAACCTCAACTTCCTCATCTGTAAAATGGAAGGATTTGACTGAAGAACTGAGAATGTTGAAATTCTAGGATTCATCATTCACTTTAGCCAAGCCCAGCTTCCTAAGCTAGGCGTCTCTCCCATGGGCTGCTGTTCGGGGTGGCACAGGCAGTGTGCGGTGTGCGGTGTGCGGTGTGCGGTGTGCGTGGCATGTGTTAGATGTGTCTGAATGGTGTGCTGGACGCTATTTGTTCTTGCTGTTCTGAGCAACCTCCCACATTGCCCCATCTACACCACATTCCCAGATCCTTCAGAAATCCTCTCCCCAGCCCCAGCCAAATGAGCAAGAACACATGTGAAGCTTTTTATTTATTTATTTTTATTTTTTTCTACAGTGCCTCTTAAGTTGCAGCTGGAATTACGTGCTTTGTAGAGAACTAGGGACGTGGCATGGCTTTGGGAAATCCACTTTCTATTTAGAAGCCAGATTCCTATTTTCAGAGCCCGTGGGAATGCCGATTTAGCTTTCTGTTGCTGTGGTAAACCACTCACGGAAACCACACGGGGAGGACAGGGTTTGCTGGGCTTGCAGATTATACAGCGCATCCTTGAAGGAAGCCGAGGCAGGAACCTGGAGGCAGGAACTGAAGCAGACACCGTGGAGGAGCACTGCTGACCGCCTGTGACTTCCTCAGCTCCTTTTCTCATACAGGCCACACCCACTTGTCCAGGGATGAGACCGCCCACAGTGGGCTGGCCTTTCCTACATCAATTAGAAATCAAGAAAATGCTTCACAGACATGCCCTCGGGCCAAGCTGGAGGAGGCAACCCTTAGTAGAAGTTCCTTCTTCCCAGCTGTGTGTAGATTTGTGTTAAATTGACACAAACTAACCAGAACGGAGGGCAAGAGAGCGAAGAGCCAGGTTACCTTTCTCCGGGCGTGTGTAAGGGTGGGCATCCATCTAGAGCAGGGGTTCTCAAGCCTCATGCTGCGTGACCCTTCAATACAGTTCCTCATGTTGTGGTGACCCCCCCCCCCCCCCGCCATAGAATTATTTTGGTTGCTACTTTATAACTGCAATTTTGTTACTATTATGTATTGTAAATATTTTTGGAGATAGAAGGCGGTTTGTTGCAGGGTCGCGACCCACAGGTTGAGAACCACTGTGGCTACCTCTTATTTCAAATCTCCCGTCTTCTCAGCCAGCCCCTCCAATTCCATGAGCGGTTCAGGCTCCAGTTTTAAAGCCAGCTTCTCTCCTCTTGTCCTTTATTCTCTCCAGCCTTCTCCCCCGTCCTCTGGCTTTCTCTGCTTAGTTAGCCAGTAAGTCAATCAATCCCCTTCTGGACAGGAGGTCAGGGATCTTAATCCCTGCCAGGGGACGGCCCAGAGGAGCAGGAGGAGCAGAATGCTGTGTGACTGTCAGGAAGCTGGCCCTTGGCTGCTCCCACCTTCCTGCGTGGGAGGGGGCTGGGCCAGCTTTCCCTCCCCCACCCCCCATTCCCCACCCCCCTGAGTCCAGCAGGCATTCCACCCCCCTGAATCCGGTGGGCATTCCACCGTTCCAGTGGTGTGTAGCTGTTCAGCAAACCACCTCAAACCAAAGGCTTAAAGCAACAGCCATTTGTTTTATTTACAAACAGAACTCAGAAGGGGCAGCTTCTGCTTCCGCAGGGCAGTTACTGGTCTGGCTGGAAGGGGAGGGGTGAGCTCAGCTGGGAGCCAGCAAGCTCTCTTGCCCACATATCTGCATTTGATGCGGCTGTTGGCTGGGACCTCAGCCGGGGCGGTCAGCTGTTCAGTTGTTGCACTCATGTGTGGCTTTTCTGTGAGTATGTGACTGCGGGGTTGCAAGGGGCCGGGGAGAGACGAGGTGGGAAAAATGGCGCTTGTATGACGTAATCTCTTCGGTGTTTCCTCTCTTCATTGTGCCCATCTATCTAGTGCCACTCTGTTGGCGTTGCACTCACTGGCCAAGTCGGCCAGAGGGTGATACAGGCTGTCCCGTCGAATGGGAAGAGTTCAGGGTCACGTTGTAAGAATAACAGGTGGTGTGTGTGTGTGTGTGTGTGTGTGTGTGTGTGTGTGTGTGTGTGTGTGCACTTTGTTATGGTAATATAATGTTCATAAACTGTAGTGAACATGCTCTCTATTGTGGTGGTCATATCTAAAGATATAATCGACTTCATTTCTGTCCATATTCGCCATCCTTTCCTTTCCCTCTTATGGTCTGTCTGTTTGAATTGGTACAGGAGAGAGACTTAGTGTGGCTTGTGCTCTGGCATCGTCTCTAAACCGTTTGATACTGCTTTGCCACTGCAGACAGGCAATGGCACTAATGTCCCTGTCCCTAGACCACACACCCATGTGATTCCCTCTCTCTGAGGGGACATGGGAATGTGATGGCATTTTGAGCAGTGGTTAGGAAAGTGAAGGGTTTTATAATATAATCCAGGTCCTCATTTATTCTGGGTCAATCCAAAGGGAGGCTGTCCTGATTATGAAAATTAGACAGAATGTAATTAGGCATGTTCTTTAGAGGGTTATTTATTTGTAAAACTTATGTAAGTACATGTGTACCTGCATATGTGTATGCCACATGCATGCGGGTGCCTGTGGAGGCCAGAACACAGCACGGGATTCCCTGGAGCTTGAGTCCTCTGAGAGAGATGCGGGGCTCTTAACTGCTGAGCCATCTCTTCAGCTCCCCAGGGAAGCCCTTCTAAAGAGGATTTGGGTCTTCCTTGAAGACAATCCTCCCACTGTCTCTGAAGAAGTTACCCTACTGTAGGAGTAACCCACAGCTGAAATATGAGCGTCCCTAGCTCCTGACAGTAACCCCTTCCAACAGCTAGCTAGGATAGAGGGACCTCAGCCCTACAAAGGCAAGACAGCAAATTCTGTCAGTAACTGAATGGTTTGGAGACATTCCAGATGAGAGGATAGCCCAGCGGACACTGGAGTTCAGCTTTGTGAGCTGCTCAGCAGGAATCAGCTACTCAGTGGCCAGGGTCTTGATGCTCAGAAACTGTGGGGTAATGCATGTGTGATCCGAAGCCACCAAATTCGTAATAATGTGTTATGTGGTGACAGAAAGTAACACAAGTTGTGTCCTGGGCTCTGCTAGCAAGACAACTTCATTGCGTGGGTAACTGGAGAAATACAAGACAGATCCTGTAGCTCTGTGTGCCAAGAGGCTGGGCTCACATAGCACTCCCGTCCACCCTCGTGGGTTACAGCACCCAGATGTAATCTCCTACCCCTGAAACCCTGTAGCTTTGTTTATCCCTCTTTCGTGGGACTTCTCATGTTGTGCTTACATTTATCAACGTTGGGTCTTACTTTCCTGACTAGATTGTAGGGTCCTGGGCACAGAAATGATGGCCTACTTGTTTTTGTCTTGTGCTTGTTTTGGCAGGAATTGGCATAATTCTCTGTGTGTCACCATTTCAAAGGCAGGATTCCGACTTCCACTTGTTGAATAGGGAGTAGAACACTTTGATGTGTTGACAGACAAGATGTGGTCTTCACGACTGTCTACATGGGCTTAGTTTGAAAGGTCAGGAGTAGCCAAGCGTTCATTTCCCCGTTTGTAGCACCAAGTGAGTGTGGTCTTGTCTTCACAGATTCTGATATGAAGCCTATGACTGTTAGCCAGTGGATTCTGGTTCTCTGGAATTCTCTGTCAAGACAGAATCACAGATCCAATTAATTTTTATGTTTATTCTGACTGGGACAATGCTGCCTCTGGAATCAGAGCCTCGGCGCTTGAGAGACCGGAATGGGATTTCCTCCTGGAGCACTGAGCACAGATCCGTCTTTAGAAGTGAGTTCCTTCATTCCCTTTCTCTAGACAATCTTGCTGTGTCATCTCCTCCTCTCAACTTGCTGCGGTTATGGCCACGCACCCTCCTGCCTGGCTTAGCTCTCCTATGGATTAAAATTCAGGACACTGAGCATGGAGGAGGAAGAAAGGTCGGAGAAGGGAATTAGCCATGTATTTAAGATGACAAGCCGCTGGGGTGGGCGGGGAGAGGAACAGAAGGCCTTTGGGTGGCTCTCTCAGGGGCTCCGGACATCCCTGGAGAGGCGTGTGGAGTTACGCGTGAAGACTTGTGCACTTCTGAGAGCTGTGTTTGGCATCTTTGATCATTACTAACAAAGCCATCACATCACCATTAAAACCATCCTCAGCTTTTGTAAGAACAGAACTGCAGTGCCTGAAGGATTCCTTTTGGCTGAGTTATTAGTCAGGCCCACATTCATGTGCTTTGCGGGGGACACCAGCTGATCAGATTTGGTTTATTTTTTGGAGGCTTTTAGATCAGACTTTATATAAAACAAATGAATGGAAACACCAGGCATACACAGCCTTCAGGGATCTGCAGTTTTGCATATATTATCCCACCGCACCGAGGGAGAGACAGAGCCACCTGACTTAAGCTGATGCAATGTTAATCCCAAAAATGGGAGGAGAAAGACCACTGATGCAAATCATCATGGCCAAATTAATTAAATCAAGCAGTTAGTTAAAGCAAGCTTTTGCATTTGTGTACACAGGCTGCCTCCCACCACCCCAAGGTGGGATTTGAGAGGTCAGCCTTGGAGGTGAGGAAGACAGGGTTGTATAGCTCAGGAGTAGGGGGTTTTCAAATGGGGGACTTGGTGGGTAAAATAGGCTGGATTACAGGAGCAGAACATCATAACAAGTTAGTCCTAACAACCTCCTGAGACAAAGACAGGGCTGCAAAGTGGGCATAACAAGGTTGTCATAGCAACAGGCAGTCATGACAAGGTAGTCATAGGTGGTCAAATAACCTTTGGAAACAGAGATAGGGTTGCAAGATGGTTATAAACAACTTTTTGAAACAAAGACATAATTTCCATTCCTGGGAACAGGCCGTACAGAACCATAGTAGTTAAGGTTACAGGTGGGGCATAGCCCAGTCCTTGAGAAACAGAGGTTCAGTCATAGACTGGAATGAGCCTAGTTTGTCTTTACTGTAAGATGGCTTTTAAGCCTAAGATGGAGGCAGGTTAGTTCTTCATTAGGGACCCTGATTGTTAAGGCCTCAAATGTCATCTGCTTTGTTTAGAAATCAATAGTGCATGTCCAGACTTTGTCTGCCAAATCTCACAAGGCTCCAGACATCTGGAGCGAACAGATTGTGTCCTTGTTAGTTAGCATCAAGACAGTGTTACAGCCCTCAGTCAAAATTAGTCACCCCAGCGATCCCTGGTTTGCTCTATAGTGTCCCCGTGGTCATGAATGAAATTGGATGTGACAAGGTCCAGATTTTCTATTTCATTTGGAAGAGCAGTAAACACTGAGGAATTCCAGGAGTTGTTTCTCCAAAGCCAGCATGGGATCTGGAGTCTATTTGTTGTGTAGATTCTAGGCTGTTTCCTCGAGCTCACCCTGTATTTCCCCTTAACAGAAGCTTGCAAGTAAATGTAGCCCAGGCTGGACTTAAACTCAAGATTCCCCTGCAGTAGAGTGTGTGTTCAGAGGCAGAATGGTAAGAAGGCAGCGAGTGAGCTCTGTGCGCCCCACTATAACTGAAGGGGAAGGGTTGGGGGGGCAGGGTAGAGATGGAGGAGTCAGAGCTCTGGGCTGAATAGACGTGGCTCATCTGCCATCTGCCCCCGCTTTTCTGGGAGAAGTCCCTAAAATCACCGATTTCTAATCTTAGATCTAAGGAATCAGCACCTCTCCAGTGGGGCCTAAAGATCTACTTCCAAAGGTGATTTTGAGGCCCCTGGGCTCATTGGTGTGGACCCTTGGAGACCCAAGACATTCATGTCAGAGAACTGTGGGCAAAATTGTGCCTGACAATGTTAACACCACAGAAAACTGAAATTATATATATATATATATATAAATAAAACTTTAGCAGTTTGGTTGCTTATAACGAATCTTGAAAACCACAGGTATAATTATGTAAAGAGTTCTGGACTAAGAGCCAGAGTCCTGTGTTCAAGTTCTGACATCTGCTTGTTCTGTGACCTTATACAAGTATGTCTGCTTTTGGGGTCTGTTTCCTCATTGGGAAGCGGGAGGGGGAGGGGGGTTCTAAATAAGTGCTAACATTCCATCCAGCACTCATGCTCCAATTCCCATGACACTGACCTGGGGCCATCGGGGAAGATCCCTGTGCAGGGGAAAGAGGACAGCGTGGGAGAAAGAATTGTATTTAGAGTGTCAAAAGAAGTTAGGAGGAACTGTGTTTTATGAAGAACAGCAGAAACGCAGCAGTCAGAAACGAATGATATTTAAATCAGTTTGTTGTCCATCACCTTGCTAACAGTTTTCTTCATAGCTTCAGGCCACACACACTTTCTCCTCATGTGTCAGAGGATTTGACTCGGTCCTTTGAGAGAGCAGAGAGTTGTCTCCCTCCGAAGTGTTTGAAGTGTGCTTTTCTAAGCTTTTGACAGTAAAATTCCTTGCAGCTTCACGGCTCATTGTTGGTGGTGCCCTGTGCATCCTGAGGATTGCCGTTAAACCTAGAAAGGCCTTTCTTTATAAAGGTTCCTTTCATAGCTGAGCTGTAAGAGTTAGAAGATTTTTTTTTCTCCCATAAAAATGCATTGGCCTCATCCATCTTAATCCTCTACGGGACTATTTCAGTGCCGGGTGCCCCGTCCACATTCCTCTGAGGCATGCCCTCTGTGCCTGCAGGGCAGAGCCTTCGGGAGCTGGCAGAGGGGGCCTCATGCCCTCCCCACCCCGACTACACACTCACATCTAATGCGTATTTACTTCAACTTCTCCTCAGCTGGGTCCCCAAGATGCCTATTGTCACTCCAGGACGGCCTGGCCTGACAGGGAGGCAGGAGGACAGTGGAGAGTGATACCACCTTTCTCTCAACACAGGTATGCGTCTATATTATACACGCGTTGTGTCCGCATACATTTGCCGTGTGAACTGTGAGATGTGAATAGAATCCGGGGGCTGAATTGCCCTGTTCTTAAGCTCACGTATTCAAGCCCTCGCCCTAACAGTCATGGTCTTTTGGAAACGGTCTCTTTGGAAGTGATTAGGATGAGATGAGGTCGTGAGTCCAGGGCCCCCGTGATGGCATCTGAAGAGGAAGAGACAGACCGGCTGTCTCTCCACAGCGTGAAGACAGTGAGAAAGTAGCTGTCTGAAAGGCAGGGGGACTCCTTTGTGTTAGTTACATGTCCTGATGCTGTGACAAAATATTCTGACAAAGCAACTTAAAGAAGGACCGGCTTTATTTGGCTCGTAGCTCCAGGGTGCACTCCATCACGTCAGGGGAGGCAGAAGCCTGAGGGGCAGCTCATATTCATCGGCTGTCAGGGGACGCTGGCGCTGAGATAGCTTTCTCCACTTCCTGACTTTCTGCCCCCCAGCCCGGGAAATGGCACTGCCCAAGTTCAGGAAGGATTTTCCTTTGTCAGTTAACCTGACCAAAATAACCCTTCACAGAGCTATTGAAAATAAAGGTTGGATTAAAAAAAATCCTTCACAGACATGCTCAGAGGATGGTCTCTGTCACACTGAGTGGCCATCAGTATTAACCATGCATCTTTATTAGGAACTAAATCGTCCAGCCCTTGATCTGTGGACTTCCCAGCCTCTTGGACTGTGAGAAATGCGTGTGGCTTGTTTAGGGTTATGGCAGCTCAGGGAGACTCCCACACTGTTTCCCTACCATGTGACTTGCTGTGCTTCCATTGCTAGGGCCCTTCCAGGGCCCTGGACCTTAAGCTCTATTGACTTTAATCCGTCTTTCTCTGGCGCTGGAGCTGACGCTAGAGCTGGCTGGGACAATCACAGGGATGAGACTCTGTCGGAGGCTGAGTGGTTTGAAAGGTGGGTGTAGCTATCTCCAGGGTGAAGTGCCACACCCATGGTGGTGGTACAGGGTTGGCCTGTGTTCCTTCTCCACTCATCGACGGATGGCCAGGGAATCAGGAAGCTTGGTCACACCCGCCCAGATGGCCGAACTGATCTTCTCCAGCCTGTTATCCTGACCTCCTGTTACAAGCCCCTGTGAATGGGTGGGTGGTCATCCCTCAAGTGTGTGTGTGTGTGTGTGTGTGTGTGTGTGCTTTCCCTGAAAAGGGCTGAGACACAGAAGCACTTCCTGTCACCCACTTCCGGCAAGGTCAGCAGAGGACCACAGAGAACAGGGCTTCTGTGGGATGTTAGAAATAGAGCAGCCAGGAGGCATCAACAAGGACACAAGCAGGAACTCGCTGGAGCTTGAGCGGGGTAGGATTGGGTGGCGAGCGTCCTGTTTGAGTGACTAGCCTTAAGAAGCTGGGAGATACCTGGGAACCTTCCAGATAACTTCAGAGGATAGTTTATATCCAGTGGAATTTGTTTTGTAGGTGTGCATGTGTGCGTGAGCGTGCATGCCTCCCAGGCCTGATTCATGGCTCCTGCATGTTTCCTCTAGGATAAAGTCCGAGCTTCCGTTGGCACAGCCTCCTGGTTCTACACCCTCTCTACCTCCAGTGCCTAGCCACCAATTAGAGCCCGCCCCACCCCCACCCTGGACTCTCAGCAGGCATCACTAGCTGGCCCTCTCAGGACCTTGCCCTCCACTGCTTCTCTGTCTTTGCACAGGCTGCTAACCGCTCGCAACCTCCCCAGCTCCTCCCCAGCCGGCGGCCTTGGAAAGTTCTGTTGATTCATCTCAAATGCACTCACTGTGTCCTCAGAGCTAATCCCTGACCCTGGACGAGGCAGTGCCCAGCTCCCTGTGCAGCGACCACTGGAGGAACCAAATGAGGCAGGAGGGCCCTCACCTCGGCTGCCGAACAACTCTTGGCTCTCTGGTCCTTCTGTGAGAGTGCCTCTCGGGTTTGTGCTGGGCTCCATCCTATATGAGTTCTGGTGCGTGTACACACAGTACATTCGCTGCATGAATAAATGTGTCTGTGGCTGGTGAGGTGCCTCGGAGGGTGGAAACATTTGTGCATTTGATCTCTGGAGCCCACTGTGGAAGAAAAGTGACTCTCAAAGGTTGTTCCCTGACCTTCAAACTTGTGTTGTGACATACACACACACACACACACACACACACACACACACACACACACACACACCCTACACACAAACAATGGTAAATAAAAATTTAAACATTAAAAACAAATGTGCACGCACAGATCCCATGCATGAGACAGTAAGCTAGAAGCAAAGCAATTGGCAAGAGAACGTTGGAGGCGTTGTCCAAGAAATGGTCACCAGACCAGGGATAGGGCTGCGCCGTGACCCCCAGCCCACAGGAGGAGTCCACGGGGAGCTGGAGTTTGACATGCCATCACCACAGCTCTTGAGGAAAGCCATGGCCGTGTGTTTCGTGTCCTTCCCACTATGCCCACGCTCATGGGTGATGTGTGGTTAAAATGGGGTTACAGCCCCCACGAAAGCAACTGTACCAGGCACTGGAGGGAACCCTGCCTGGCTGTCTCACAGAGCTGAGCAGAAGCAGAGGGGCCTTCCCTCTACACAGCTCCTCAGCCATTGCACTCTGGCTGTTTTTTCTGCCCCTTTGGTTGCCAGATTTGGGCTTCATGCCTGGAATCCCGGCGACCCTTGATTGTGACAGGGTGAACGTACAGCATCCTTTTATTGTGCCTTTCGTTCTATTTCCGGTGACTTCCCGGTCCCTTGTTTTGAGATTGCTGACATCCACCTGTGTGTTGGGGCCACAGGGAAGGTGTCTTTGACCGCCGCATTTGTTGCTGAAGCCACAGCACCTACGAGAGCTGCTGGGGAGGGAAGCCTTACTGAATAGAAAGTGGACACGTGAATTGATGAGTGAACCATGAAATGTAAGAAGAGCGTCGACAATCCTTCCGCTGTTTCTCGTCACTCTGTGATCTCTGGTGACTTAAGTGGCCCTCTCTGAGCAGGGACTTCCCAGATGGGCTATTCCAACCTGCCCTGAGGATTCCAGGACAGCAAGACCAGGGACAGGGAGATGGGGAGTTGCCAGAGGAGCGGCTGAAAGCTCTATGGGATCCCTGTTGCCTAGTGCAGTTTCTCTGGCATCTGCCCTCTGGCCTGGGGCCAGTGCCCACCAAGTAGGAGGTTGGGTTGGGTTACAGTCAGGCCCACAGTCCAGAACAGGGGAGGGGCCTGTGTTTCGGGGTGGGGGCCCCAAGGCAGAAGTCCTCGAGAGCTCTGTGGAACATCCGGTTTTGAAGGACTCCATTTAGAAACAGAAGAAAAGCTCGGGAAATAGGAGGGATCTGGCAGGCTTCCCAGGAGAACAGCAAGTTCCAGCCAACTGGAGCTCCGGAAGCAGGGAATTTGTGGGTTAGGATGGGGCACTGGAGCGAGCAGACATCTCGGCCATGGTTTCCCTGGCAAAGCTCTGCTCTGAACAGAGCATGTTTCTGGAAACCGGGAGGGTCTTATCCTCCCAGGCTGCTGTGCACATAGTCAGCATATATTTCCTGTGAACTTGGTCATATCTGTGTGTGTGTGTGTGTGTGTGTGTGTGTGTGTGTGTGTGTGTGTGTGTGTTTTCAAAACAGGAATGTTATAAGCTGTTCACAGTTCTGCCTGGGCAGTCTCCTGAGTAACGGAGAAGTCAGCTCCTCCTCCGTGTTTGAGAGGTGGGGGCAGGCTTTCTCCGCTGTCTCCAGGACAGGCTGGGCACTCATTCTTCTGGACAGCTCCCTTTTAGCCCACCAGAGCCAGGGACCCAACAAGCATCTAGGACAGCAGTTCTCAACCTGTGAGTCTCTACCCCTTGGGTGGCTAATGCCCCTTTCACAGGGTACGCATATCAGATATCCTGCATATCACATATTTACACAATGATTCATAACAGCAACAAAATGACAATTATAGGGATGAAAATAATTTTATGGTTTGTGGGGAAGGGTCACCACAACCTGAGGAATTGTATTAAAGGGTTGCAGCATTAGGAAGATCGAGGACCACTATCCTAGGAGCTTTTCAGGCCGTCAGGTGTCAGGATGTGGGTGTGCAACCACCCTGCTCTGGCTGATTGATGGGGAACTGAACTTGAGGGAGGAGGCACCAAGGGAGGACTCAGGTGGCGTTAAGGAGGAGGGAGAAATGGTTATGCATTTTTCACTGTGAAAAGGTCTAAAATTAACTTCATCCAAATAAGATTTAACATCAGTTGTAGCCTTTCTCTTTTTAGGACCGCAGCCACCAATTACCTACCCCAAACAGGGGATGGGAGAGGGAATCCTGGCACCCCCCTCACTTTGGCACCCGGAACCGAGGGAGCAGGCCTGGAGACCCTGTAACAGGAAAAGACGGGGTCAAAGGGCACCTCCTCAGAAGGGTTCGGAGGATATTGTAGCATTGTAGGCTGGAGTGTGAATGAGCATGGTTGGGAGAATTTGCCACATTCTGTGGGAGAGTTGAGGATGTGTAACCCCCATCGTTAATATCACAGAGCACCAGTCCTTCATGCCTTTTGTCTCAAGACTACTCTTCATTTTTAAATATTAGTAAAGACCCCATATGACTTGTTCAGGTGAGTTAAGCTGGTTGATATTTACCATATTAGCAGTTAAAAATTATTTAAAAAAATAAACTCATACACGCTCATAAAAGTAACGTATTTATGAAAAAAAAAAATTTTCCATTATTTAACAGGCGGAGCTTCCTGAGGAGAGGGGCATTGTCTGGTGGAAGCTGCCCGGCTCATGCCTGCCCTGCATGACTTTCTGGGATGCTGTGTCCTCTGTGCTGCTGGGAAATTCCTGAGTTCTCTTGGGAGGGGATAGGGCTGAAGAAGATCACTGTTGTGTATTAGCAAATAGCGTTGACTTCACAGGCCCTCCTGAGAGGCCTTTGACAGACCTGACCATGTTTTGGGGAGGACTGCGGGAGAACTTTGGAACTCGAAGCTAGAAAAGACACTGAGTGTTGAGAGCTCAGTGAGCTGTTCTGGAGGAGCTTGGAAGGTAAGAATGTTGAGAGCCGTGCAGAAGACGGAGGCCTGGCTGGTGAAGTTTCAGAGGGAAGTAAAGACTCTACCTGGCCATTTCTGTGAAGAATCTGAGGTGTCTGGCCAGCCGGAGCTGAAGAATCAGCTGTGATTAACAAGACACCAGAAACACTGAAGTAAAATCTTTGCTTTGCTGGCACAATGGATGCTGGTCAACTGGAGCTGAAGAATCAGCCATGATTAAGAAGAGACCATCATCATTGAGGTGGAGTCCCCTGGGCAGTCTTTCCTCAGGGTCAGCACACAGAAAATATGTTCCAGAAATGACCAAGATTGTACCTTATTCTGGCAACCAAACTTGGTAGCATAAGAGTCACCCAGTTGTTGCTGGTTTTGAAGGCATGAAGGGGTCATGGAGAGCAGCTGAGGATTGGCACTGTGTAGCAGGGCTGGAGTCCCTGAAGAGAGCCCAGGAGAGGCTGCCAGTGAAAGTGCAGCCTAGTTGCAGCAAGAGACCCAAGCATGTTTGGAGACGCCAGCACCACGGGATGACCACCAAGCAGCGGTGGAGTGGAGCCAGCTGAAGCCTAAAAGACAAGCTGGTCATGCTGCAGAGGGCGGAGTCAGAGAAGTGACCCAAACCCTTTGGAGGAGCCCAGAAGATCGTGAGTGAATCCCGGATGATTGGGCATTGAATTTTTTATACTGTTGGAGTTTGGTTTTGCTTTGTTTAGTCTGTGCTGGCACTTTCCTCTTGAAGTAAGAAAGTATTTGATTTATTTTTGATTTGACAGGAGTAAACAGTTGAGAGACTTTGAATTTTAAAAGACTTTGGATTTTAAGAGACTGCCTCTTTTAAAGAGACTGAATTTGTAAGTGTTTGATTTTTAAAGACGGGGGACTTTTAAAAATTGGAATGTTTCTATTGTAAGGTTGATGTTAGTTTGTGATCTTGGGGAAGAACAAGAAAGGAAAGGTTATGACTTAACAGTGATGTGTTTGTGTGTCAAGTTGACAAGGGGTCAATTGTACTGGCTGGTTTTATGTCACCTTGACACAAGCTAGAGTTATCTGAAAGGAGGGTCCCTCAAATGAGAAGATGTCTCCTTAAGTTCTAACTATAGGGAATTTTCTTAATTAGTGATTGATAGAGGAGGGCCCAGCCCTTTGTGGGTGGTGCCATCCTTGGGTTGGTAGTTTGGGGCTCTATAAAAATTCATAGACTAAGCAAGTCATAATGAGCAAGCCAGTAAGCAGCACCCCTCCATGGTCTCTGCATCAGCTCCTGCCTTCAGGTTCCTGTCCTGTTTGAATTCCTGTCCTGACTTTCTTTGGTCATAACCAGCAATGTGGAAATGTTTTTCTCCCCAACTTGCTTTTTGGTCATGGTGTTTCTTTGCAGCAGTGGTAAAGCTGAGGAAGACACGGCCCTTGGACAGTACTTTGAGAACTGCTATTCTGGGAGAGGGATACAAGTAAATAAATGAACCAAAACCAAAACCACATCTCCATTCCAGCAGATAAATGTGTAAAATGTATATTATATTGTATCAGGTTCAAGTTCTACAGAGAAAGAGGAATGAAAGGAGGGAAAGAGGAAAATTAAAATGTCTAATTGTTAGAGATTACTCGGGAATTCTTTTTTAAGATGATGGAGGGATATCAAGTTACTATGACATTAGAAATGCATTGAGATACACACTCCAGTGAGTGGTGTGTAGATCTATTGAAATGTTTAGCCACTCCCCATCCCCACACTTTACCACTCCTTCCCCACTCTTTGGAATTTAACCTTCGACATCTATTTAACCGGCACATGAACATTCTTAACCACCAACATAGCATTCTGTGCTTCAAGATTCTTTTAAAGCTATGTAAATAAAAACCCTTAAAGATCCCTGAGCTAGATGGCATTTACTGTTTCTTCAAGCTCTTTGGACTGTGAGGAGTCTGTTCTAGGGTGGGCACCATACCTAGTAGGACTCTAAAGGTAAAGGTCCACTTAATACTAGGTGTCTCTACAAATTAGATATAAAGGGATGAAGCAAAAACACATCCCCATCTCTTTCTTACATGCTCATGGGTACACACACACACACACACACACACACACACACACACACACACACACACTCCCTCAGCAGACTCCCGTTCTTATAGCATGGATTCTGGTGCAGGGAGTTTCTGAATAACGCTGTAGGGAACCATGAACTGGGTTAGCAGTGTGGAATGGTCTGGCCACTGGGAATCCTCCAGAGCTGGGGTGACCTTAAAGAGGATTCTTAAAAACCAAAACTTCCATGGTGCAAACCCTCTTGGCCTAGGCAGTCCTGGCAGGGGTGTTACCTGTGCAGAAGTCTTGGTGGAAATCAGTACAAGGACCAAGTTTCCCATCTGTGTGCAGACCTGGGCCAGTGCACCCAGGATGGCAAAATGACTCACTCCGAATGAAGGATCCCAGAGGGAGCAGACTCTGGAGTCAGGGGTGATCCTTTCTGAGATTCTCAGCCATTGCCACCTGCTCCCCACACCCCCCAGAGATGTGCAGATGCCCTGAGCCTTGGCGGTGAGTGAACCCGAGCCGATGGTCTCTGCTCTGTTGTACAGTGCAAGGTGAACCCCACTTCTTTACAGTCCTCACTTGTGGACCCCTTCTGACATCACCCAGCTCCTGCTGTCAGGAAGAGCTTGGTAGTTTTCAGTCACTGAAAGATGGCAAGGGGGACAGAGGAGACTGAGGAGGCAGGTCTCTGAATGACGACAACCCACTTGTGTGCTGGAGAGTGGAAAGACGTTCCCATGGCCTCATGAGTGGGACTCTCACAAAGGAGAGCACTGAGGGCTGAGAGGGCTGCCCCCAAGCCTGCCATCTTGGCAAAGATGGAGGAAAGAGCATGTGTCATGTGGACACCGGGGTTCTGGCTTGGAAGCCCTGAGTCAGTCTTCATTTGATGAAGGCCAGGCCCCCTCTTCTGAGGGCTTCCATCTTTATCTGGGCCTCACCCAGGCCAGGCAGGGGGTGGGGCTGTTGCTCAGCATCACCCTTGGACCAGGTCCCTGGAAGTGGCAGTGTGACCATTTCAAAGGCTGGCATCGGTCATTTCTCAGCTGGTTTTTGTGCAAAGCCTAGGCTGAGGTTGCTCAAGAGAACATTAAAAAAAAAAAAACAAAACAAAACCAGGGAATCCAAAATGCCTTTTTTTAACTAGGGTTCGGAATGTAGGCGAGGCGCTTATGTTTCCCCTTGGCCTCACTGAAGGAAAGGACAAATCTTAGCCCAGAGTAGGAGAAATACCTCCTGTGGGAAAATGGAGAACTTAGAGACTCCAAGAGACTGGGCGCAAAGATGGAGTGTGCATTCTGTCTTTTCTTTGGCATCTCCGAAGGCATCTAGAGCCTGTTGGCATGCCACAAAGTGTCAGGGGCAAGCTAGTGAAGGGCCCACAGTGTTGATGGCCACCACAGGGGAATGTAGAGACTTTACTCACCAGTGAAAGACGGGGGCGTATTCACACACTTAGCAACATTAAATCCCTGATGAAAATCTACAAAAAAAACCCAACCATCCTCAATCTTTATTTTAATACAGCTCTCATGACCCTTAGCTTCATGGTTGTCCCTTATGAACATTGCCAGAGTTTGACCCCATTATAAAATCTGTGTGCAATTTCTGTCTCCTAAGAGACAAATTCCTCTGGGTTTCCTTAGAAACCAACTCCCTGGAATCTGCTTCACAGCCAGTGGCTGGCGACTCAGCCTTGCGAACTACTGAACTTGAGGTGGACCCTCAACACGGATGTCTCTTCAGCCCCAGACCAAGCCAGCTTTGAAGCTATTCCCTGACTCTCTGCTGGGGACTGGCTGTGCGCTGTCACCGTCCTGTGAGGTCGGCTGTCACAGACAGTGAAGTCGGCTGTGTTAGGTGTCTCTAGAGGCTGTAATAAATGGAATCCCAATGGCAGTTCATGCCAGAGACCCCTCACCATCAGACCACAATACAGCATCAGATTGCTAGTCAGCAAAGGGCTTTTGTCCTCTGATGATTTGTCATATGCTACTTCTATGGCAAATGACAAATGCTATGCTAATGTGGCCCCTTCATCCTACAGCCTAGAGTCTCCGCAGCTGACTGGAAGGTATGGAGAAGCTGAGATATCTTCTCATTCTTCTTCAGTGTATACAAATACACGTAGCACTGGTCACTTTAACATTTTTTTTTTTTTTTTTTTTTTTT